GTAATAGATCGGGAAAATAATCACACAGCAAGCAAAAACCAGCAAAGTAAATAAGGTAAGGTTTGTTTTATGGCAAATTCTAGCGAGCATTTATCTCCTTGAATCTTTTACCTGAAATCCCATACAAATCCTTTCTGTTCAAGGTCATTTTTTAAAATAAGGATTACACAATATGAGACCACCCATATTATATATTAATGATTAAACTCTCTTACTGAGCTTGGGTCGCCTGTGGTTGAATAGACCATTTTACAGTGGTTGTGACTAGAATACCCTAAAGTCAGATTTGTCATCTTCACCAAAAATACATGATAGGAGTCTCATGATAGCTTAAAGTAGTAAATTAGAGAAGATAGAAAACAAAAGAAAACAGTAGGAAGTCTGATGTAGGACTTAAACACGCGTCATTTTTATAATCCACATTCATATCCACTACACCATCAAGGGTTAACTGCCGAGACCGGTTAATTTTAACATACTTAGTAGGGCGTTGATCATTACCGTATTGAAGGTTAACCTGTTTTAAAACAGTGCTTAACCCTAATCACTGTACTTTGGTGCTAAAAACCAATTCAACTCTCTTCCTTGCACTGGACTGTCTCTTACTCTGATTTCCTCACTTTTCTAAAAGTTCTCGTGCCCAATAAATTCGCATAAATATAGTAAAGCATAGGGTTGTGTAATAAACATAAATAAGGTGTCCAACTTGATTTTGAGGTATCCATTCTAGTTGTCGGCTTAGTATCCTAGCCTTTGAGTGAACGTGAGGCTGAGGTTGACATAACAAAGCAGGAAGGGTTGTATCAAAACAAGGTGAACTCCAGCCTCGTTTCCACCTGTAACTGTAAAATCAGGGCTATTCCTAGGAACCATATCCAAGTTCAGAAGGGAAAAGAAAAGATCGTTGTGACCTGTTTGCGTCCTCCATTGACTATTTTCGAATCCCACACAATACACTCTGTTTGACCTCCAAATCAGTTTGCATAAGTTAACTCGGAGAGAACAAAAATAACTAGAAAAGAAATCTCTATAAAAATGTACGTTACCACCCAATTTACTCGACTACCACAGGTAATACGTTTGTGGCTTGCTTGTTTTATACATACATATCACAATTAAAACAAAAAGCGTACTTATCAATTCGAATGACTCATTTTGGCATTTATTTCACTTAACACGTGCATGCAAAGCTTCATTTTCTTGAGCAGCAAGTACAGATCCAGTGGGTGGAAAGTGTGGGGCAAGTTTTACCTCATGTTATGACGTCAACGTATGTAGATAACGCTTTGCTGTGATTTGGGAAAACGCCAAATGAAATTAGAAAAGCAACCACATGAAACAGTCATTAAAGAATTCACACTTTCGTGTTTCTTGTGGGATTTACCCGGTAGTTCCGCTCGTTAAGGCCCCTAACCGCAAATGTTTTTCCAAGAATAGGCCGCGGATGAATCAGCGGATTCAGTGGGTTTGTGTGGACGGGAGACCCATTCGTGTAAAAAAGAAAGTATGCGATAACAAAAATATCCGGATTTGTGTGGACTGGGCCTAAGGGTGGATTCATTTGCGACATACCTGTAAAGAGGTCGCTTATCTTGTACTCAGATCTTTAATTGTCGAAGCCGAGGGCCAGATCTGGTCAAGAATCCAATCTAGTTGTGGCGTGTGCAATTCATTCGGATCTGTTCAACACGTTTGTCTTATCTTTTAAGACTTTTTAAAACGTTCTCTCGGTATCAGTAAAGACTTTTGAAAAGGGTAAAAAAAATATTCTCGCGTAGAAGTTGACGCGTTGATGATGATGCTGTGAGATTTTAGCCCGCGCTGTGATAATTAAATTTAAACTAACTGTCGCATTAAATTTGGTGTTACAAAGCCCGAGAACAATAACAACAACAGACTCGATCCTAGCCCCTCTCCTCTGGTAAGTTTGTGGTGTAGTCATTCGCCCCTGCAAAATCTACGGGGATGCCAGATACGTGTCCAATCCGTTCCACTCAAAGACGGTTGTCCCACACAACCTTAACCAGAAGCATATAACCCCGAATCGGGGTTATATGCTTCTGCCTTAACCCAATCTGCATGCAGTAGGACTGCGTTCCTCTACGTCGAACGCAATGAGCCCCTGACACGAAACTACTTATTTTTGTGACGGATATAAAGAACAGTGAGCGATAAGTACAGTAGCCTGCCGGCAAACTCTCCAATTATGGCTTGCACGCTACAAGTACGGGGAAAATTGATCACAAGGTACAACATTACACATGACCTCTCTCTATTGACAGAAAGAAACCTTCGCTCGCGGCTGATCGAGGCACGCGAGCGTGCGCACACATTTCTTCTTTCTCCTCACGTTCTTCTCAAGACAGGCAAGTTTTGTAAGCTGGAACATCTTTTTCACTAGATTATAAAAGACCCCGAGACACCAGCAAAATTACCTCACAATGCAAGCTGCTACTAACAACTAAAGCAAATTGTGGTTACAATAATGGATGCCTCAATTTTAACCTAGGGATTACATTTTTATTTAAAATTACAATTGAAGCCTTAAAGTTAACCGTTTAATACTATTCTAATAGAGCAACATGTTCTTTTTTTTCTTTTTGCACTTCACAGTTAAGCGGCGGTAAAACTTGTCCTGGCATATTTCAGTTCACATCACGGGGCGAATTGTACTATGGGGCTGTTTTGGGTACAATATCACTTCTTTGATTGGCTATTACAAAGTTGCACAAGAAACTGAGTTAAAATTCTTTCCCCAAAACAATCTCATCGTGTATTTCGACACAACATTAAGCAATTAGTCTCCATCGCGTACTCAAAAAAAGCCAATTCTTGGTTTGCAACCACGTGACATGGCGGCCTTGTAGGTAGTCAATACAATAAGGGCCTGTTTACATGGAGGTGGGGGACCCCAGGTAGGTGAGGTAACCCGCTTAGGTGGGGTAACCTGTTTGTCCATATAATCTCTCATTTTAATTTGATCACGTTTACATGATAGGTGCGGTGACCCGCCATATTTTACTTCACCTACCTAGGGTCCCCCACCTCCATGTGAACAGGCCCTAAAAATCATTTCAACGAATTTACATGAAAATGGACTTTAGCTTCCAGAGGATAGAAATGTTTTTGTTCTTGAAAACCAACATGGCTGCCATGACGTCACGTGCAAACCATCAATTGAATTCCTTTGGTTGTGTCCTCTTGGCCTCACTCCAGGACCGCAAAACTGACGTCAACGCAAAAGGAGGAAGGACTGGACAGTTGCACTAGGACTTCTGGGATCGTTAGACTGACCAAAGTTAGTTTTGATTGATTGCTCGAAGCCCGGCATAAGCGAATCAAAGCTAATTCTAGTTATTCAAACTAAGGATTCTGGAGATAAATAGCTACAATTACATAGAAAATTCTCTTACGTGTACATTCACTGGAATGAACGCATTCTCAAGAAGCACCTCATAACTTAATTATGTAAATTTATAATTTTTATAGTTGTTACAGACCGTCACAATATTCGACATTGCATTAATATAAATGTTGATTTTTTTTCCCTTTAAGTAGCGACCAGTATAAACTGATGTTTAATACCCTGACAAGAAGGTGCTGAAACTTGAGTTACGGCAGGAAAATGGGATTTCTAGAATCCTAAGAGTTTAAGGAAACTTCCCACATAAATTTTACAGGGGTGATTTTCAATTTGCTGCCACGCCAAGTATAAACCACTTTATGCAAATATCCGAACTCTCACAGGCTAAACTTCTTGATCAAAGCAATTCCTCTCAACTATTATGAATGTAAACTTTTGCTCTGGACAAGAGATTATCAGTGTTTCTTCCCTTAAGGAATAATATATTGTCTTGTCACGTGACATAACCAAGCGACTGTAAAAAAAAAAAANACGTGTACATTCACTGGAATGAACGCATTCTCAAGAAGCACCTCATAACTTAATTATGTAAATTTATAATTTTTATAGTTGTTACAGACCGTCACAATATTCGACATTGCATTAATATAAATGTTGATTTTTTTTCCCTTTAAGTAGCGACCAGTATAAACTGATGTTTAATACCCTGACAAGAAGGTGCTGAAACTTGAGTTACGGCAGGAAAATGGGATTTCTAGAATCCTAAGAGTTTAAGGAAACTTCCCACATAAATTTTACAGGGGTGATTTTCAATTTGCTGCCACGCCAAGTATAAACCACTATATGCAAATATCCGAACTCTCACAGGCTAAACTTCTTGATCAAAGCAATTCCTCTCAACTATTATGAATGTAAACTTTTGCTCTGGACAAGAGATTATCAGTGTTTCTTCCCTTAAGGAATAATATATTGTCTTGTCACGTGACATAACCAAGCGACTGTAAAAAAAAAAAAACACTCAAAACAGTGAGCGATTTCCATTCAACAAAATGTCTGGTTTGAAATTTCAGTAATTCCACGTGCCTAATGGAACGGTATATTCCAGTTGTACAGACCCGACCCGAGCCACTGCGCGTTTGCTTATTGTTCTTGTAAGCAGGATACAAAAGAGCGCTACTGGGGACAACAATTTTGTCAAGAGGAAAGGGACTTTTTAGTCCGACCGACCGAGATAACCGGACCGGTCAAAGTGGACCACCTCGTAATCTGGGTCCGAATATTCCAGTCGGACCAAACCGAAATGGTCCGTTCCACTTGAAGTACCAACCGAAAGTTCCGGAATTTGGGGTTGAATGGAAACCGCCCAGTGTTCCTTCTCTTAGGGGAACAATTCTTTGTCTTGTCACGCGACATACGCAGGGGCTTGTAAGAAAACCGCCAATACAGTCACCAATACGGCTATCCCAAACACCCATAAAGAAAGCTTGTCCATCACCATGGCAGCAATACGCCATTCTTCTTTGTGATTGTTCAGTCTGTCGTCTACGACTGAGTTTTCTACAAGCGTGTCGACTCGGTCGAGAATTCTTTCTCCCAGCTGAAGTACGGGATCCTGGAACCCTTCCATGTGATTTAACGATAGTTCCGAAGCGCTGAGAGACGGTGCTGCAAGAAAACCGTTTGTACTCGAAGCCGTGTTTCTGTAATGGCTGTCATAAGGGCTATTGCTGTGACCGTTAATCAAACGAATCTTATTCTTGAGTTTTATCGAGCCATTTCGAATTGGCTCCAACGACGTTTCCAGCGTGGCTTTCCGACCAGTATCCTTGCGCATTTTTGAATGCTCCTGGATTCGTTTAAGGTTCTCCATACTGATTCCGAAGAAATTTCCGAGATAGCCGAGGACATACTTCCGAACCCAATACGGCATCTCGATGACATCCGAGTGATAGTATTTCAAGATGTAACAAGTCCACACAAGGCCGACAGCCATTTCGACCATCCCAGCCATATAGAACTTGGCAATAAGCGGTACTACATCCGATGATGGGGGAATTGTTTCTGCCACCACCAACATGAACACTGTCATGGCCAGAAGGATTGTTATCGTCAAGGAAATACGTTCACCTGAGAAAAAAAAAACAATGAACAACAAGGAAAAAGTGAATTTTTAACGAGCCATTTTCCACTGGTTAAGCAAAAGATTGGTTAAGACTTGAGACTATTCTTAAACGTAGATTAAAACAATCAAACTTGATTTTGAAAAAAGATAGATTGCCTTTAGTTTGGACAATTCGAAGTAGAGTAGCTGCAGCCAAGAGAGAATAGCTCATTTTCTCTTGCTGCAGCAAGATGCAGCGAACTGAGCGCCGCTCTTCAGCAAGTGTCACTCGCTGTATTCAAGCTCCTCCAGACCTCTGTTTTCAAGACTGCGCGCAATCTAGTCGCCACGAGAAACGAGAAGGGGACTGGAGCCGAGATACGTGCCGCAATTGTTTCTGGGATCGTTACTGAGGACGCACCGGTCAGCTAGTAACAGTCCCAGAACCCCTTGCGAAAGTTAACTTGGCCCAATTTCCAAACTGGCCAATCAGTGGCCAATGTACAACACAAACACACTACACTGCTTTGCAGTACACTAAAGGGAAATGACGCAAGCAAAAAACTATTGGTTGACTTGTTCTTCGTCTAAAAACTAGAATTAGGACAGGTGACATATATCCTTAGTATTATTACAAGATAATACAGACATGTATCTTGATTTGAATGCGTTTACCGAGTCCGGACCCTTGGCGATTCAGGAGCCCATAGCTCGAAGCGAGCAACTTCCATACTGGGTCTATGTCACGGCGTTTTTACAGACCAGTTTATTTTAAGACACATTTTACGGCACTTTTTCCTGCGAAAATAGAATTTCCACTATGTCTTTGAGCGCATTCGAAGTATAAGATATCAAACAGGAAAACTGGACGTTATTAAAAGGCAAAAAATATCATTTTTAGGTCTGTATGTTTTGCTGACTGGTTTGTGAAATTTAAAAGATATTCAAAATTCGCGCCAAAACCGTTCTAAAAATAAACTGGTCCGTGAAAATGCTGTGACACGAGTCCAAAGGAAGTTGCTCGCTCCGGGTTATGGGCTCCTGGCGATTAAATTATTAAAGAGCGAAGTCAGTACTGCACATGTGCATCAAAAAACACCTACCTGACTCTGCGGGGAGTATAAAAGACACGTTAATCAACACGGTGATGATGACCAGCGGTAATATCAAGTTCATCATATAAAAAAGAGAGCGCCTCCGAATGATAAGGGTAAATGTTACATCCGGGAACGGTTCCTCGCAACAAAAATACTTCAACACGTTTCGCACCGACGGCACACCGACCAAATCCCACTCGGCGCTCTCGATGTAATTTCCCAGGTCAGCGGAGTGGCTCTCGTTCAATATATCGAGACGATAGCCGTCGTAAGTCCACGAACCGAACTTCATTTTACAATACTGCGTGTCAAATGGGAAATACTTGATGTCGATGCGACATTTGCTCTTGAAAGTGACCGGAGCAAGCCAAACGTTCTTTCCCGTGTGATGCAGTACAACTCGGAAGTTTAAGCGGTCTAAGTTGCCGCCAAAACTGATATCTTCGTCAGCGCTGTGAAAAAGAAGAGAGGCAAATTTTGAAGATATTCCAGGAGCGTTGCCGGTTGTTTCGATACAAGTCATTTCAAAACAAGAACGAAGAGTATTCACCCAAAATGTTTTTCTTGTTCACACGCAAACTATACTTGTAGTGAATGAAACTTTTTGTGAAGTTTAACCTCTCGAGTTTGTATCGAAACGACCGGTTTCTTCCAGGGGTGAAGGAGAGATCGAGGTGAAGATAGCTTATTTACCGTTCGCTATTAATCTTAACTTCAAAAAAGAACCAGACAGACCCCCGACCCCCCCCCCCCCTCCAATCCTCCCGTGAAAGTTTGTCCATCCCAGGGGTGTGCAAGGTTAAACCTGCTCCATTCTTCGTTATTTTATCCTCAAAGATCGCTCTTACTCGACTCTTGATGACTGCTCTGAAGGAAAGCAGTCAGAAGCTAGTCAGAAGCATTTTTTGCTGACAACATCTTTTAAATTGTCTTTTCATCGTGGGGAAAATCATGTCAAATTCTTCTGGATACTTTCATTGAAATGTCGCACCAAATCTCCCGTACCAAATCAACGTTGACATCTAGTAAATTTTAGGCCTCCTCCGCGAGTTTCCATGAATATAAGCTAATAATTAGTTTAAAGCGTTTCCATTCTCCTTCACTTTGTAATCATAAAACAAAGTAAAACGGCCGCCCTAATTTCATTTTACTGAAAAATCAGTTTTTACCACAACGAATGGCCTAGCTATAATCTTAACGAAAAGGCAATTTTGGTCTAGATAAAGTACACTTACTTCTCATATAGAACGATGTCTGGAAGCCAGACTTTCTTTGGAGACACGTTGATAGTTTTTAATCCACCAAACTCACTGCTGTTCCAGGCTAAGAGAGGATTAAACCATATCTGAGGATTTACGAAAAAGTTAAAGTTAGACGACATTTTCACATCTTTATCTTTTTTTATCACTTCAATTTTTTCAGTAATCCTATACTTAGTTCTAGAACCTTCCTTATGCATGTAAGTATCGCCCACCCACTACATTACACTCCATCTGTCAACCTTTTACCAACGCATTTGTGGCTCTATTAAGGGTTCAGTCAAATTTGATGTAGATACAATGTCGAGAGGCACGTACAGCTATTGTCGGTCGGTTCAAACAAAATAGTGCAAAAGGCAGGTGAAATGGGCTGGTATAGCGAACTCACTTGTCTAACCCAGGCGCTTGTTGTCAGAATTTGATTCTTTTCATCCTAAAATACAAAAAGAAAAACAAAAATTACCTTTGGCTATTTTTTTATAATGTTATAAACACGCACTTTGGAGACAGGCTGTGAACCTAGGCCTCAAGAAATTTGATGTCTAGTTCCAAAAACTCTCACTTTCAAAATGAGGCAAAATGCAAAATCTTTCTTGTGAAAATGAGTTTTATTTGCATCAGAATAATATATCATTCTCAAATCTAGTTCTAGCGACAGTACCCTACTTAGTTATCCGAATGTTAAGCCCAAGGCAACTCTCGGTGAAGGGGCCTTTCTGTCTGCTGCACCTAAGCTATGGAATGCTGTGCCAAGATTTATTAGGGAATCCATTTCAGTTGACACTTTTAAGACAAAGTTGAAGACTCACCTTTTTAAAAAAGCATTTTGTACAACTTAGATTATAAGATTGTATTTTTAGCTTACTAGACTATAAATATTTTTCAGCTTATAATTTTTAAGATTTTGCTAACAGATTTTATCTTTTTAACTTTTAGCCATTCGTTTTTCTATTCTATATCTACATTATCATCTTATTTTATCATTTTTACTATCATAATTATTCATAATTTTTATTATTAGTAGTATTATTGTTTTGTTTTGTTTTTGTTTTTGTTTTTTTTTCCCTATGGCGCATTGGAATATATTTATATAGATATTTGCGCCTTATAAGTTTTTGAAATTAAATTAAATTAAATCAATGGCTTCGCTTTTAGCCTCGCTTTAAAAATAACAGAGGCCTAGGCAACTATGAAATGGCCTCCCCTATTGATTTAATAACCGGGTTTCCGCGAATCTTGATTTGTCTCGCTTGGCTGACTTCCGAATATGATAATTTTGGTACAGTGAGACAGGCCATCGCGTGATACATAGAGGTGTAACTCACAATTTTTAATCAATTCTCGTGCTTCTTGTGCCTTTGCAAAAAAATCAAGAAGTGCTACACACTAAATCTACTTACTATTAAAAAAATATCATTTTTTCATAGGTTTAATGCAAGCCAATAATTAAACCAACTCGTGACGGGAATCCCTTCTATTTTCTTATACTAAATTATCATATCTCGGTGAGCATTCGGAAGTCAGCCAAGCGTGGTCATTGCACGCGTGCTGAACAAGAATGCTGTATAATGACAGACTAGAAACAATAGACAACTCCCAAAGCACAAACTCAGCCAAAACGCTAAAAATCTTCAATGTTTACTCAAGTTTGGGCTTATAGAAGATAATGTCACAGTTTTTCAATGACCATGAAATTCAGAGTCCGGGTNCCTTAAAGGGGCGTGGCATTATAACCACGTGACATTTACTCCGATCGCCAAAAATTTTATGTTATATTGTAGATTGATCTATATGTTATCCATTCTATGTGTTATACTTACGATAAAAGTAAAGGTGGGGGTACCAGAGAGCTTCAAAGTAGGATGGTCCCCCCTAAAAAAAACTGGGTCGAGTCACCTTAATAGTCCCTATTTGATACCTACCACGTCAACAATCTGATTGAGTGTTAAACCAAGAATGACCGTCACAGCATCTGAATCGTTTACAGCAGGTCGTTCATTCACGTTATAATTTAGGTGAAATATCTTCTTCAACAGTGCTTGTTCATTTTTACTAGCTTGACAGCCTTCAAAAGAGTAAGGAACACAAAAACTACTTCAGACAACCATGCCTCTTTCCAAACCAACCTTAGCGTTTAACTTGGTAACGTTCTGAACTTGGGGTTCTATTTAGGAAACAAAGGATGCTTTTCCGTATTTTCTATGAAGGAAATGCGCGAATGAAATGTCAGGAAATCACATTTCAAATATTTTCCACAGAGTTGATTTAAATAGGAAACTGAGATTGATTCCTGATCCCCCAGGGAGTAATCCCTGGGGTTATAAGTTAATTATACGGATATGCACCGACCCCCAGGGACGTTACTGTGATATACAATGTAACAGTTGTGTAGCGAGGTACCAATGCGAAACAACATTTACCAACGGGAGAAGCGTAGTAAAGAAATACATATCGGCCACTTGGAGTTGGCGCGAAAGTACAGTTGTACAGTTGTACAGTAACTGAAATTTCAATTAATCCAGCGGGTGCCAGTTGTTCAAAAGATAGACAGTGCTGTGCTGCAGTTAAAACCATATTGATTAGCGATTTTGAAATAAAAGAACAGACCCAGCTGTGCCTTAGTTATTATCTCTCTCTTACATTCTTCTGGTATGATTCAATTTCATACATGTTATCAATATAATCGATCTAGGGTGCATAACTGTTTGAAGAAAGAGTCAACAAATCCCTCAGGAGCTTCTGATTATTTTTTTTTTTTTTTCGCTTTGACATCGTTGACAAAGACTATGTTAAATGTTAATTTTAACTGTTAGTGGAGCAAACTGGTTATTATTTTATACTCGATCTGTGTCTCAGGGTCAATAGCAGGCCCTTAAGTCTCGAAGACTTCATCGAATCCTCGAGAAGCCTTGAACAAACAACGATTAAAAAGGAGTTGACCCCGGTTCCACTTTTCTCTAGTTCATACTCTCGCTATTCTCACGTTCAAATTTTACCAGGTGTTTTTGCTTCTCGACATCAAACACAAAACATACGCAAAAGCGAAACCCCAACAACAACAAAATTGACTCCCAAAAGTCAGTGTATGCAAACCGTCTTAAAATCAACAACGTTTCGACGTTGTTTAATCTGTTAATTGGTGAAACAATTTCTTTTTCGGCATTTCTAAAAATCCAGCTGCAATTCAATTTGACTGTGGTTTATTTGATAGATATGTTACAACCAAAACTAAACAATTTTTGTCGACTTTATTTAATGCAACGTTATATTGCTGAAACATAAGAGTACTTATTTTAATTAGAATATAATAGTTTAATACGTACCTGTGAGAAGCGCTGTCCAGAAGAAGAACAAACCGGAAAACTGTAAAATTCCGGCAGGCTTCATCCGGTTCTCGTACCAAATTCAATCGTTTAAGATGAAAAACTTTTTCGAGCCTGAAAGAGATGGAGAATTCATCACATCATCCGAGAGGGGTGATGAATTTACAATTCTATCATGATTATAACTATTGGTGGCGCAGTTCGACTGTTTATGAATGGAGTCAATAAACTGGCCAGAAAACATTTGCATAATGACACTGTCTTCGGAACATCTGCGCTTCGCACAAAGATGACAAACTATTCAGTCCCCAAATGAACTGCCTCCTTAGTGAAAAGAGCCACTTTCGATGTTTATGTAAATATGAAAGTTTACAAAAACATTAATGTGGGCAGTTTTTTTATTTTGTATATTTTTTCATACACCTGGGCTTTACTGAGAAAATTACAGAAATGGCAGAAATTTCGTGAGTGCTATTCAAAATCAGAAGAAAAATAACTTTTCATTCCAAACTACATATTTGTGTTAAGACCAAAGACAATCAACATGATACGTAGATTTTCAACACTAGTTCAAAGCATCTGCAGATTTGTAACTGTCCTTGCTAAAAACATTAATACCTCTAGTATTTTCTAGAACTAATCCGGGCTAACTAAATTACAGTGAAACCTTGACATAACGAAAGACCAAGGGACTGGCAAAAAAAGTTGGCTACATGTATAACGAGGTTTCGTTATATCGAGGTTCGTTTCCTCGTATGTCACAATTACTGTGGCGAAGAATATCGTTCGTTATACCGAGAGCTTCGTTCATAGAATGAGTTCATTATATCGAGGCTCCACTGTACTTTGCTTTTTACTAATACTTGTCAAACAGAGCTTAAACAAAGATATATAGCATGAGCCTAATGCGATGTATTCATTCATTACTGACTGATTTGCAACGAAACAATGAATTTACTCAGAAGAGGGAAGAGAAAAAGCAAATGAAAGAACCTTGTATCCCAACACAAGAAACATTAATCCAAAAAATGTTTTAGGATAACAATACGTAACGAAATTAAGAAAAGCAGAAAAAAACAACAAGCACCAGCCTAATTACCACGAATATGTCTGAACACTTTCAATCAAAACACTGATAAAAAAAAGCGGATTGTTGGCTATAGAGCCTCCTCTTGTTAACACTATCATACGCTGCTGAATTTTTCATGATGTTCAAATTTGTCGTCACTTTGTTGTACCAGCACACAACTTCGAATAATTTCAGATATAGACAGGCTCTACATAAATATGGAACTGTTATTTTCTGCCTAGGTGTTTCTGGTGTCACCATCATCATTTTTTCTGGATCCGGATGTTCTCTAAATAGTAGAAAAACGAGTTAATGTGAACCAGAAACTCGCCCCATTTTTTTTATTGAGAGACAATGCTCCTACAATAATTTCGTAGCTGCAGATTCGTGAACCTTCTGCGGCAATCTACCGCATTTTTAAGTTAATTAAAAGGAGAGTCGCCCCTTCAGCAAGAAAGTAACTAGATTACATGAAACAAATTATGGCATAACTCCAGATGTCCGTGTCATTGCGCGAATACTTTCCGGTAACAAATATATAAATCCTTATTTATGCACCAAAATCAATTTCTAAAAGAAAATCAATATACTTTTAGATTCAATATTAGCCAGGGCGACCAATTGGTAGAACATTCTCGAAAATGCAAAGCAACAAAGTACAGAACACACTCATCCTCGGCAAAATATTCCCTAGAGACCATGAATACCAATAAATTTAAGGGAAAAGCTGGCATTTTTCAGGAGAATGTCCTTCAGTCATAATGCATGGTAAAGTTTGTTTTTTTTCTTATTTCCTTAATTAGGCGAAACCTCTAAGACAATTTTAAACGCCCTCCAAATCTTTTTTAAAAGAATCATTTATTTTCATACCATTCGTTGTAATGTTTCTAGTTTTGGAGTATAAGCTTAACCCTTTAAACCCTAAGATCAAACTTTGAATTCTCATTTGTTGCCCCTGTTCATTTCCTATAGATGTAGTAAGGAGAAGTTGATAAATATCAAGAAAATTCATCTTGTGTGATCATGTCAGTAATTCTCATAACCACTCTGTTTTACAAAGCATTGATATTACAAGAAGAAATTTGATGCTGATCACTCTTAGGGCTTAAAGAGTTAATTACACTGAGAACCTTAATTTTTTTCGCGCGATCGTAGCTGTAAGGTCTTTTTTCACTGGCTTTATTTGATGGGTCTATAAGACAAAAAAAGAAGTTGTAATCTATGAACAGCTTGAAGTAAAGCTTAAAATCATTTCAACGCCCTGGGCCAACCCCGTCCCAAGATCTTTCGTTTACACCCTCGATGCTGACCAATTGAAAAGATATCATGGCCTTTGGTAAAGGAGCTTGAATTGAGGCTGCTTTTAACGTTTACGTAAGTCATTAATGCGTCTTAAGTTCTTAAAATTTTCTTCCTTGAAGAAATAATACGCGACAGCTGTGCAGTCCTTTACTTTCCTACTATTACTTTGTTATTGTTTTAACGTTTAAAATATAGAAGAAAAACTGAATCACTTTACGTAAAGACAATATTTCAGAAATATTGATTCATACTGATCTGACAAAGTGGCTTGCAAGTCCATTTAGTCTTGCAACAGAACAGACCAATTACAACAATATAGCGGCTAAAAGTTGCCAGTTATAGGAAGATAAACCATGCCCATGTTCTGTGCATTTTGCTGCGGCCTTCTCAGTTTTAACACTAGTGCATATCACGCTATTGCCCAGCCTCACAGCCATACAAACATTTGGTCAGCTGTGGGTATATCTAAGCATATATGAAGTAAATGGGAAGTTCAGAGAGCACGCAAGAAGAAGCTAGATAAAAGTACCCAACTCTCCTTAATTTCCATTTGCGGGTGCCCGCGCGAGTTTGCGACGTTGAGGGTGTCACAATTTTTTCTAAAAATACAGTCCAACCTCCCGTAAGCGACCAACCAAAATGCAAAGATTGAGCGGTCGCTTACGGGAGGTGATCTCTTACAAGAATCGAATCACAGAGGGTCTCTTCCGAGAAGAGGTCCAGGTACATCTACTTTATAGAAGATATTTATTGCATGCAATGTCTAAGTTACGACATGTGTAGTTCCATGTTGTCACTAACGTTCTTCGTATATTCTTAGTAGCATAGTGCACACAGCGAAAATAGAGATCAGAGAGTGCGTAAAGTGATCGCTCACAAAAGGTCAAGGCCTAAAATGTCAGGCCTAAAATGTGGTCGCGGTCGCTTACAGCAGATGGTCGTATACTAGATGTTCTAACTGTAAGGCTTTGACTGAGAATGTTTTTGTGTTTTGGATAGGTGGTCCCTTATGGGAGGTGGTCGCACAAAAAGGCTCGACTGTAGAGCATTTGACTATTTCGATGGAAAGACGTGGACCCCGCCCTTACGGTCTCCTTCTTCGATTGCGGCTCCTGACTTCCTCTGGGTCAGTTCGTTTTTGTCAAAACGTTTACCTTATTAGTTCGACGACCGAAGTGAGGTGGTTGGACTCGGCGGATAACGCCCTTCTAGATCTGCACAATTCTTCAGATCATACTTGGCCTCTAGGCCTCATCAGGAGCTCCTGGCCTCATTCAATAATTTCTACGTATCATTGGGTGGGAAACCACAAAAAGTACTGGTCGGTAGCTTTTAACTGAAAGGGGATATGTTAAGATTTCTCCTAAAGCGGGTAAAG